TTATCTTTTGTCGATAAAGTTCTGCAATTTCTTCGATGATTTTATTAAGTTCTTGAATTTGTTCGGTATTAATCATAGAAATAATTTACTAATACTAAAAAGGTAAAAAGATGATTATCTAAAATTATAACTAACTAATTAAGGTCTTTGCATCGAAGGGTAACTAACTAAAAGAAGATAAATTATAAAATACTATATTAGGGTTATCAAAATAAAGGATAAGATAATTATAAAAATTTTAATTTGTTTCCACTAGAAGGTACCAAATTGTTACTAGTCGACTTTTTGAACTAATTTTATTTTCCAAAAGGCAATTTACAATTAGCAACTCGTAAACAGTTACTTTAGTTTACAAATTGAAGAGGATATTTGATGAAGAATGAAAGAAATATTAAAGTTAAATACTAAAAACTAACTAAAAGATTTAAGAATTTAGGGTCACGGGATTTTAAACTATTGGTTAATGATTTAATTTTAAAAGTCAAGTTAAGAAATTAAGACAAAGAATTAAATATATTTATTAATGGTTTATAAAATAGTAACAGAAATTTATAAATCAGAATTTATAAAAAATAAAAAAAAAACTCTTTCTGAAACAAATAATTTTACAACAAAACCACAGTAAAAATTTTTTTTCTATTGAAAATAGTTTTTAAATTTTTATTTTTATTTATTTTATCAAAATTTCATTCATTTGTCCTTTAATAATAAATGGACACACTCAATAATATGAGCGTTAGCTCAAATACCAGGGCTAAAAAAAGCAAGGACAACTCAGTCCTGAAGCTAAACATTATTGGCGAAGTTAAATTTAACTTAACAATGAAAAAGGTAAAACCAGACAAGAAAAGCAACAACAAGAGAAATAATACGCCAATGGAAGAAGCAAATGCTGAAGCTTCAGGAAGTAAGATAAACCCACAGATAGTAATATTAACAAATGAAAAAATAATAGAAGATAACGTCAATACAAACACAGAAGTTATGGAAGAAATCGAAAGTAGAAATAACGAATTACAAGAAGATAGTGTAAATGGGGAAGAAAATAATGACCAAGGGTGGAGAAGAGTAACTAATAATAAAGGAAAAACAAAATATGAAAGTATCAATAAAAATAACAATAAAGAAAATAACGAAGAAAAAGAAAAAACTGAATCAATCGACTCATATCAAACAGAAAATGACTACCAGTCCGAATGGCGCAGTAACTTCAACGCAAAAAAATATAAAATCTGAACCTACGCAAGAAAAATCATGGAAAAAAATATCAGTGAAAAAGTAGAAAAGTTAGAAAAATTTTAAAAAAGAAACAGCAGTTGTCCTGGTAAAAACTAAAGTATTCAAGGACAATAGAATGATTTCTGCATTATACGATAATGAAGAAGAAATGGAAAAGAGCAAGTAATACGATGTGGGAGGAAATGCAGGAAAGCCTACCTACATGCATAAGGCTGAAATTTTCAGAAGAAACCTAGTTAAGGAGCTAATGCATAGTGTGAAACTGTGGAACGTGCCGTTGGGAATGAAAAACAAAGAGCTCAAAGAAGACCTAGAAAATAAATATGGTGAAATAGAAAGACTAACCATGAGAGTCAATAACATGTGGCAATCTGCAGTTACTATTTTTAAAGAAAAAGAAGATGCAAAAAAAGTCATGGAAAAATAGAGTATTATAATTGGAGAAGACTTCCTGAAGGTTACACAAATAGATCAAATAGCTGATAATCTCAAATCTAGAGGAGAACATGCAACCAGAATTATCAGTCTACCCAATGGTATAACAGCACGTGAGTTATGGCCCCATGTAAAAAAAATTGGAGCAAGAACATGTTATATCCCAAGAACAAGAACATATAGACGGAAAAATGAAGCAATTGTCTCGTTTGAAGATCACGAAATATGTAGAAACTCATTAAATGTTTCTTGGAAATTTGGAGAATTCAATATTAGAATGTTGATATACAAATCAAAACGTGTCACCGTTATCATACTACAGACCATTTGGTTATTGACTGTTCACAAAAATTAAAAGATAACGAAATTAAAGAGAAAAATGTAGATAGATTAGATAAATTCGGATCGATTTATAAATAATTCAACCCAAGATTCTATAATACCATTAACAAACAGATAGGTGATAAAACATACGCAGAGGTTGCTAAAAATAAACCATTTAGAAAAGATAATAGAAATAATAATAGTAATATTAAAAATGATAACAAAGTAGAAGAAGATAGATTAGAAAAAATTGAAAACATGTTAATAGATATTAACACACGCCTAGACAGAATCAAAAATCATCTATGGGAAACAATGCAACAACAATACGAAGATGACGAATTAAAGAAAGATGAAGATGAAAATATGGGGGTCAAAGAAGAAGAACAAGAGATTAACAATAATAAAACACCTGACAAATCAAACAAAACTATACCAATGGAAAAAATTTTATCTACAATGAACTCAATGATAAGTCGTATGGAATCGTTAGAAATAAGCTAAAAAAGGATTCAAATAATAATAAACAACACACACAATTAACAGATAGTAACTGGGCCCTAGATAACCAATAGAGTTAATAAATTTCCTTATTAAAATAATTAAATATGAATAACAATAATAATATTAATATAAATAACAAAAATACATCTTACATAAATAATAAAGGAAAAACAAAAGAAACAAATATTAGTTATAATAACAAAAACAAAAATAATATAATATATAATAATACAATGAACATTGCGATACACAACGTGCGTGGCTTTAATGACAATGTAAAGTGTGCCTTATTTATCAATTATATCAATACAAATAATATAGACATTATAGGTATTGCAGAAACAAATTGTACAGAAAATAAAGAAAAATGGTTCATAGAAGAAGGAAATAAATATAGAGGACATTAGTTATCCGATGGAATGGAGGCAGGTGTAGCTATACTTGTTGCGAAAGAATTAAACAAATATATATGTAAAGTTCAAAAGTTTAAGAGAAGAATAATAAGTATTAACCTGGTACTACCTAAGAAAACAATAATTACAATAATACAATTATATTTATTAAGTAATAAGAAAGACAACAAAGAAACATTGATACAAGTTAAAAATTGAATTCACAATGCATAGCAACGAAACCATAAAGTAATAGTAATGGGCGACTTCAACACTGTACCATCGCCAAGTATAAATAGAAATAACAATAACCAATCCAACATCCCAGAGAGTGAAATTTTTTCAATATTAACAGGGAAAGACTTAATTGACAGTTATAGAATCATACACCCTGATTCTAACGGTTTTACGTAGAAAAGAGATAATTCGCAAGAACAGAGCCGAATTGATGCCATCTGGATCACACACAATAGGAAAAAAAAATAATAGAATATTTCATGGAGCAACTTGAATTAGTGACAAAAAGTGATCATAAAATAATACAACTTAAAATTAAAAAGACGTGGCAAATACATTTAGATAGAGAAGTACAAGATAATATAGGATCTAAATATAACATAAAATTAATGTGCGACGAAAAATGGATGAAATTTACAACACATGTAGAAAAGAAATTAAAAACAACCACCATCTCGTCACGAAAAGAAAAATATGGGATAACAGTCAACTCGTTAAACAAAAACTGGAAAACTCTCAAAAATATAATAATAGAAGCTGCGGATTGTGCAATACCAAAGAAAAAAATCAAAAAATTTAACAAAAAAATCAATAAAGAATTCACAAAGAACTATAAACGTGCAAAATCATTTAATAAACTATATCAATTCATAAAAAAAGAAAGAACTAAATCAGTTAAATATATTAAATCACATGATAAGTTTTTGAAAGAAAAGAAAAAACTATCAGTACTTAATATTGAAATCGAAAAAATTTTAATAAACAATAGGAAATATGAGGAATTACTATACAAATTCAAAGAACAAAGTATACGTTTTCAAACAATCGCAAGAGTAGAGAAAAAGAAAGAAAACTTTAAAAAAATCCAAAAAACCATAGAAAAAAGATGGGAGAATCTTAAAGAAAGTCCTAAAAAAATGATTAATAGTATACTAGACAAGCCAAGAAAATCCATTATTATGGATCGCTTGATTGTTGAATCAGAGAGCAATAGTACAACAAAAATCATTACGGATGAAGCAGAAATTAAGACAGTAGTACAAAAACACTTTCAAAACTGGACAAGAAAAAGGAACACCAACGAAACAATGATGAAAGAATGGGAGAAATGGTATAAACCAATATCAACAATTGATTCTAATAACTATAAAAATTTGCTAATAGAAGTAAGTATAGACGAATTGGAAGAAACCATTTGCCTTTTACCTAACAAAAAAGTGACCGGGCAATTAGGTCTACAATATGAATGGTTTAAACATCTCCCTAACGAGGGCATAGAAGCATTAAGAAACATCATTAACATGGCTTTCGATTTAAATGACATTCCAGAAGAATGGAAATGGGGGTATATATACCTAATTCCAAAAATGGCCGATTGGGGAAACAATTTAAATATAACAAGACCAATAACCTTATTAGAAGCAGGAAGAAAAATATTCACGAAAATTTTAAATAATAGGCTGGCAGATATCTTCAGTAACAATAAAATTTTATCAGGACACAACTACGTGAGCTTACCAGGTGACGATACACAAAATCCAATTTACATTATAAACAATATTATGGAAGACGCGAGGGTCAAAAATAAAGAATTGTGGTTAATGTTCCAAGACATAAGCAAAGCATTTGATTCGGTTAATACCGTTTGCTTGTCAAAAACTTTACGAAGAATTAAACTGCCAGAAGGATTTATTAACATAATAGAGAAATTGTTACATAACAGAGAAAACATCGTATTAACTACTTATGGAAATACAGAGGCGTACAAGGTAGAAGATGGCATCGATCAGGGAGATATAATTTCACCAATCTTATGGAGGATTTTCTATGACCCACTAATACACAGAATTGCAAAATCAGGTCTGGGATATACAATGAAAGAAAAATGGATCGATGACCTAAGATATGGAACGACTAAATCAATGCAAATGAAAGTAACAGTGGCAGCATACGTAGACGACACAAATTGGTTTGCACCCTCACGAGAAAAAATGGAAAAAATACTTCAAATTGCAAATGAATTTTTCGTCATGAACGATATCACAATAAATAAAAGTAAATCATACTTAATTGCAATTAATGCTGGGAAGGAAAATAGAGAAAAAGGTGTTAAGATAGATAACGATGTTTTAAATCCTGTGGAAAGTGATTTTCCGGTGAGATCACTGGGAATTTATGTAACAGAAAATGGATCAAAAAAGTTTCAAAAAGAATGTATGAAAAAGATCTCAGACTTTATGGCATTTGTCATGAGAAGAAAACTTATTACAAATAAATAAGCAATATATATTTTCAACGCAGTTATAATCCCAATGTTAAAATATAATCTAAATGATATGGTATTAACAGAAATCGAGTGCAAAAACATGACAACACGCTTTATAACACGCTTTATAACAGTAATTAAAAATAAAGCCTTATTACCAAATACAATACCCAATGCACTTATATTTGCAAAAGAAACATACGGGATATGTAATCTATAGGATAGGCAACTTCAAATGCATAGCAGTAATCTATTGGGAAGAATCAATAATAAAAAGGTTCTTGGGATATCTACAAGAATCAGACTACAAAACCTACAATACATATATTGGTC